GAAGAAAAAATATGAAATAATAAGATTAATTAATTTATAATAAAAGTAAAAATTGAAAATAAAATGATGAGCTATATTAATAAAGAAAGAAGAAAAAAAACAAGCTCAATAAAAAGAAAAAAAAAAAAGAGCTTTATTCTTTTTAATTAGTTTTTATAATTAAAAATATCACAATCCAAAACAAATAAACTGTTTTTACCTAAGGTAAAGTGTCAAATTTGACAGATTAATGCATTTTGCTAAAGCTGAACCTAAGCCTGATGCACCTTCATCACCAATTTTATTGAAACTTTTTAAATATTTAAGAAAAAATATATCATTAAATAGTTAATTAGAAGGAAAAGATGAAGAAAAAATATGAAATAATAAGATTAATTAATTTATAATAAAAGCAAAAGTTGAAAATAAAATGGTGAGCTATATTAACAAAGAAAAAACAAAAAAAACAAGCTCAATAATAATAAAAAAGAAACAAGAGCTTTATTGTTTTTAATTAGTTTTTTATTATAAAAATATCACAATCCAAAACAAATAAACTGTTTTTACTCAAGGTCAAGTGTCAAATTTGAGAGATTAATGCAATTTGCTAAAGCAGAACCTAAGCCTGATGCACCTTCATCACCAATTTAATTTCCACTTTTTAAATATTGAAGAAAAAATATATCATTAAATAGTTAATTTGAAGGAAAAAATGAAGAAAAAATATGAAATAATAAGATTGATTAATAATAAAAGCAAAAGTTTAAAATAAAATGATGAGATAAATTAACAAAGAATGACCAAAAAAACAAGCACAATAAAAAGAAAAAGAAAAAAGAGCTTTATTGTTTTTAATTAGTTTTTATAATTAAAAATATCACAATCCAAAACAAATAAACTGTTTTTACTAGAGGCCAAGTGTCAAATTTGAGAGATTAATGCAATTTGCTAAAGCAGAACCTAAGCCTGACGCACCCATGGCACCAATTAAATTTGCACTTTTTAAATATTGAAGAAAAAATATATCATTAAATAGTTAATTTGAAGGAAAAAATGAAGAAAAAATATGAAATAATAAGATTGATTAATAATAAAAGCAAAAGTTTAAAATAAAATGATGAGCTAAATTAACAAAGTAAGAACAAAAAAAACAAACACAATAAAAAGAAAAAGAAAAAAGAGCTTTATTGTTTTAAATTAGTTTTTATAATTAAAAATATCACAATCCAAAACAAATAAACTGTTTTTACGTAAGGTAAAGTGTCAAATTTGAGAGATTAATGCAATTTGCTAAAGCAGAACCTAAGCCTGACGCACCCATTGCACCAAGTTATTTAAACCTTTTTAAATATTGAAGAAAAAATATATCATTAAATAGTAAATTAGAAGGAAAAAATGAAGAAAAAACATGAAATAATAAGATTGATTAATTAATAATTAATAAAATTAACAAAGAATGAAAAAATAAGAAATCATAATAAAAAGAAAAAGGAAAACAAATCAAATAAATTAAAAGAACTATAATGCTTTAAATTAACTTTTATAATTAAAAATATTACAATTTAAACAAATAAATAGCTTTATTAAGTGTAAGTTTAAATAGCAAAAAATGAATAAAAAATATCAAATAATAAAAAATGAATAATAAATAATAAAAAATTGAAATGAAAATTAAAGTTAAAATAAAAAAAAATTAATTTTAATAAAAATCAATAAATAAATAATGATGATATTTTCTTTTATAAAAATTATTTATTTAAATAAATTGAAAATTAAATATACAAAAAATATCAATAATAATAATAATAATATTTTTTTAATTAAATATACCCAAGATGAATATGGAGAACCTAATGAGATAAAAGTGAAGAGCTTTTAAACTTTTTTTATTAATTTATAAAAATTTAAAGGATATTAATAAAAAAATTAATAATTACTTCTTCTAAATTTTTATATTCTTTAATCTATTATATCATTTATTTTTTTTTCAAAAATATTGAATAGAAATTTATGAAATTTGATTAATTAATTAATTAATTAATTAATAATAAATGGATAAATAGAACAAATAAATATAATATTTAATTAATTATCAAATATAAATTTATATATTTGGTTCTATGAAGAGATATCACAGAAAAATTAATTTAACATTTACTATTTAATTTTAATATTTGTATTTAAAACATATACTTAAAAATATAAATAGTAGGAATTAGAGATGGCCAGTTATTAATTTAGTCATTTTTGAAAAAAACCTAGTAATTAATGTTCTTAAATATTAGAAAAATAATGTTTATAAGTAGATTTTTCTGTTTGTTTTATCTCTGTAATTTTAGGAATATTTATAATATCTCTAATTATATGAAATAAGCTTATAAAAAGCTAAATTCAACATTAACGAATTTTAAATTCATTAATTTACTCTATATATTATTAAATAAAAAATCAAATTTGTATTGACTGAATGAATAAATGATAGTTTAAAAAACAATTATTTTATGATTTTAAAAAATATAAAATGAAAAAAATTATCATAAGATAAATTATAAATTTGAAAAAAAAACATTATAACCACAAAAGTTTAAATAAAAATAAAATTTGATTTCTCCATGAGGTTTTATTTAAATCATGGCATCTAATTAATCATAATAAATAAAAAGGATAGAAATATGATTAATGGATAATATTTAAGATTAAAATATAACTGGCATATAAAAGTTTGGCATTTATATAATTTAATAAGATGTAATATAACATTAAAAGTTTCAAATTATTTGATCGTTTTTGCAAAAACCAGAGGGTTTGCTTAAGAGGATTTAATTTATTTAAGTAAATTTAATTTTATTATTTTTTATAAATAATTTATTAACTTAAAAAATTTGAATGACATTTATAAATATAAAATCAATAATAAAATCTATCTATTTATCTATTTATATTTTAAGTTAAAAACACTTTTTCAAAATATTATAAATATAGTAATATTCAAACATTTTATATTAATTCATCCTTTTTTCACAAGTAGCTTTAAAAATTAATGACAACTAATCTTTTTGATTTACGACACTCGCTTATTACTTAGAATTTTTATGATATATTCATTGAGCTAAAAATTTTAAAATAAATTTGTGTAAATTTTATTATAAATATCAAAATAGAATAAACTTTTAAATTAAAAACTATTCTTTAAATTAATAAATAAAATAATATTAGTGCAATAAAAAAGATAAAAAATAAAATAAATAAAAGCAGTCAAATAAATTCAAAGAGCTTTATTGTTTTTAATTAGTTTTTATAATTAAAAATATTACAATCCAAAACAAATAAACTGTTTTTACTCAATGTAAAGTTTCAAATTTGAGAGATTAATGCATTTTGCTAAAGCTGAACTTAAGCCTGATGATGCACCAATTTAATTTCCACTTTTTAAATATTGAAGAACAAATATATCATTAAATAGTTAATTAATTAGAAGGTAAAAATGAAGAAAAAATATGAAATAATAAGATTAATTAATTTATAATAAAAGCAAAAGTTGAAAATAAAATGATGAGCTAAATTAAAAAAGAAAGAACAAAAAAAACAAGCACAAGAATAACAAAAATAAAAAAGCACTTTATTGTTTTAAATTAGTTTTTATAATTAAAAATATCACAATCCAAAACAAATAAACTGTTTTTACCCAAGGTTAAGTGTCAAATTTGAGAGATTAATGCATTTTGCTAAAGCTTAACCTAAGCCAGATGCACCCATTGCACCAATTTAATTAAACCTTTTTAAATATTTAAGAAAAAATATATCATTAAATAGTTAATTAATTAGAAGGAAAAAATGAAGAAAAAAAATGAAATAATAAGATTAATTAATTTATAATAAAAGTAAAAATTGAAAATAAAATGATGAGCTAAATTAACAAAGAAAGAACAAAAGAAAATAAGCACAAGAAAAACAAAAATAAAAAAGCGCTTTATTGTTTTAAATTAGTTTTTATAATTAAAAATATCACAATCCAAAACAAATAAACTGTTTTTACCAAAGATCAAGTGTTAAATTTGAGAGATTAATGCAATTTGCTAAACCAGAACCTAAGCCTAATGCACCTGCATCACCAATTTAATTGTAACTTTTTAAATATTGAAGAAAAAATATATCATAAAATAGTTAATTAGAAGGAAAAAATGAAGAAAAAATATGAAATAATAAGATTGATTAATAATAAAAGCAAATGTTGAAAATAAAATGATGAGCTAAATTAACAAAGAAAGAACAAAAAAAAAACAAGCACAATAAAAAGAAAAAGAAAAAAGTGCTTTATTGTTTTTACTTAGTTTTTATAATTAAAAATATCACAATCCAAAACAGATAAACTGTTTTTACCCAAGTTTAAGTGTCAAATTTGAGAGATTAATGCATTTTGCTAAAGCTTAACCTAAGCCAGATGCACCCATTGCACCAATTTAATTAAACCTTTTTAAATATTTAAGAAAAAATATATCATTAAATAGTTAATTAGAAGGAAAAAATGAAGAAAAAATATGAAATAATAAGATTAATTAATTAATAATAAAAGCAAAAGTTTAAAATAAATGATGAGCTTAATTAACAAAGAAAAAAAAAAAAAAAGAGCTTTATTGTTTTTACTTAGTTTTTATAATTAAACATATCACAATCCAAAACAAATAAACTATTTTTACCTAAGATTAAGTGTCAAATTTGAGAGATTAATGCATTTTGCTAAACCAGAATATAAGCCTGATGCTCCTTCATCACCAATTTTTTTTTATTTCTTACCACAAATTTATTTGAAAACACCAAGAAGTTTTTTGAGTCTGATACTTTTTTTATTTTTTTTGCCAAAAAAAAGACTCTAAGAAAAAATTAAACAAACAACTTAAAAAATTCATAAAGAAATATACAAATTAATAAATAATAAATAAATAAAGCAAATAAATAAATTTATAAATTTAATTTTAAGAAAAATTTCTGAGTGTATAAATACATGTATTTATGTGCGAGTGTATTATTATTATTATCACCAATTTTATTAGAACTTTTTAAATATTGAAGAAAAAATATCACTAAAAAGTTAATTAGAAGGAAAAAATGAAGAAAAAATATGAAATAATAAGATTAATTAATTTATAATAAAAGCAAAAGTTTAAAATAAAATGATGAGCTAAATTAACAAAGAAAGAACAAAAGAAAACAAGCACAAGAAAAACAAAAAGAAAAAGAGTTTTATTGTTTTTAATTAGTTTTTATAATTAAAAATATCACAATCCAAAACAAATAAACTGTTTTTACCCAAGGTTAAGTGTCAAATTTGAGAGATTAATGCAATTTGCTAAACCAGAACATAAGCCTGATGCACCTTCATCACCAATTTAATTTGCACTTTTTAAATATTTAAGAAAAAATATCATTAATAAGTTAATTAGAAGGAAAAAATGAAGAAAAAATATGAAATAATAAGATTAATTAATTAATAATAAAAACAAAAGTTGAAAATAAAATGATGAGCTAAATTAACAGAGAAAGAACAAAAAAAAACAAGCACAATAAAAAGAAAAAGAAAAAAGAGCTTTATTGTTTTTAATTAGTTTTTATAATTAAAAATATCACAATCCAAAACAAATAAACTGTTTTTACCAAAGATCAAGTGTCAAATTTGAGAGATTAATGCAATTTGCTAAAGCAGAACCTAAGACTGATGCACCTTCATCACCAATTTAATTTTAACTTTTTAAATATTGAAGAAAAAATAAATAGTTAATTAGAAGGAAAAAATGAAGAAAAAATATGAAATAATAAGATTAATTAATTTATAATAAAAGCAAAAGTTGAAAATAAAATGATGAGCTAAATTAACAAAGAAAGAACAAAAGAAAACAAGCACAATAAAAAGAAAAAGAAAAAAGAGCTTAATTGTTTTTAATTAGTTTTTATAATTAAAAATATCACAATCCAAAACAGATAAACTGTTTTTACCCAAGTTTAAGTGTCAAATTTGAGAGATTAATGCAATTTGCTAAACCAGAACCTAAGTCTGATGCGCCAATTGCACCAATTTAATTAGACCTTTTTAAATATTTAAGAAAAAATATATCATTAAATAGTTAATTAGAAGGAAAAAATGAAGAAAAAATACGAAATAATAAGATTAATTAATAATAAAAGAAAAATTTGAAAATAAAATGATGAGCTAATTTAACAAAGAAAGAACAAAAGAAATTAAAAATATCACAATCCAAAACAAATAAACTGTTTTTACGGAAATTAAAGTGTCAAATTTGAGAGATTAATGCAATTTGCTAAAGCAGAACCTAAGCCTGATGCACCTTCATCACCAATTTAATATTATCTTTTTAAATATTTAAGAAAAAATATATCATTAAATATTTAATTAGAAGGAAAAAAGAAGAAAATATATGAAATAATAAGATTGATTAATTAATAATTAATAAAATTAACAAAGAATGAAAAAATAAAAAAGAATAAGAAAAATAAATCAAATAAATTAAAAGAAATTTCATGTTTTAAATTAACTTTTATAATTAAAAATATTACAATGTAAAACAAATAAATAGCTTTTATTAAGTTTAAGTTTTTATAGCAAAAATAAAGAAAAAATTTCAAATAATAAAAAATGAATAATAAATAATTAAAAATTGAATGAAAATTAAGTTAAAATAAAAAAAAATTAGTTTCAATAAAAATCAATAAATAAATAATGATGATAATTTCTTTTATAAAAATTATTTATTTAAATAAATTGAAAATTAAATATACAAAAAATATCAATAATAATAATAAAAATAATATTTTTTTAATTAAATATACCTCATATTAATATGGAGAACCTAATGAGATAAAAGTGAAGAGCTTTTAAACTTTTTTTATTAATTTATATAAATTTAAAGGATATTAATAAAAAAATTAATAATTACTTCTTCTAATTCTTAGTAAAATTTAATCTATTATATCATTTATTTTTTTTTTTCAAAAATATTGAATAGAAATTTATGAAATTTGATTAATTAATTAATAATAAATGGATAAAAAGAACAAATAAATATAAAAATTAATTAATTATTTTTTTGGTTTTATGAACAGATATCACAGAAAAATTAATTTAACATTCACTATTTAAATTTAATATTTGTATTTAAAACATATACTTAAAAATAGTATGTAGGAATTAGAGATGGCCAGTTATTTATTTTGTTATTTTTGAAAAAAACCTAGTAGTGAATGTTCTTAAATATCATAAAAATAATGTTTATAAGTAGATTTTTCTGTTTTAGCTCTGTAATTTTAGGAATATTTATAAAATCTCTAATTATAGCAAGATGACATACAAAAACTTCATGGTTTGCCTGCCACTTATTTTGAAATATATTTTTTATTTATTTATTTATAAAAAATCTGATTTATATATATATTTTATAATAGAATTATAATTAATTAATAATTTAATTTATTATAATTTCAAAAATAAATTATTTTATTTTTTTAGACTAAGTATCGATTATTTTATACCTTGCGCTTTGACCATCAAATCTCTATTATATATTATTTTATTATTTTATTGATAATTTGTTAAAAATAATTATGGAAAATATTATAAGCATATAAAATTATAAATTAGTACGTACTTACAAATATTTTATTGAAATAAATATGCATAAATTAATATAATTTAAATTATAAATAAGTTGTTTATTTTTTGTTTATTTGTTTATTTGTTTATTTGATTGTTTGTTGGTTGGTTAGTTAGTTAGTTTATAAGTTGATTGATTTGTTTTTTGTTATTTTTAGATGAATTTAGTCATCTTTTTTTTAAATTTTTTGAAAGAAATTCATATTCTGATTAAAGCTCTTTCTTTGCAAGAAGGTCTAATTAAATTGCAATTTTGAGGGCTCTTTGTGTATATACAAGGGATTCTTTGTAGTTGAGTTTTTTCTTAAAATATTCTCCTTGTTTTTAAATTCTTTAACAGGATTTGAAGTTGTTTTCTCCAAATAAGCTGGTGTAAATGTCTATCATTTGAGAATTAAAAAAAATACAAATATCAAATTTATTTATTTCCTCGAATTCTTTTATGATTTTTAAAATTATTTCAGCTTTATGTGGGTTTATTCTTGGATATGCAAAGCACTTTATGAGTAATTCACTCATTTCAACTCTTTACTGCTCGTTTAAGAATTATAACATGTTTATAGGCTCAATATTTGCAGTTTAGACCATTATGCTTGCTGACATTTGCAATCCTTCTGTGTTTAGTTTAATTGATTAGTCCATGTCATTCGTGAGGTAATAGATTTTGCTTAAATTAAATAAAGAATCAGCAATAAACTAATTTGGTTTGTTATTGTATAGTTATTTTCTCATTTCGAGAGACTAAATGTGGTACTAGAGTGCTTGTTCATAGTCTTTTCCTTGGCAATATGCTTCGCCTAGATCACTTAAGGTATAAGCTATCTCAAAATGGTTCTTATCTTAATAAATAACCTTCCTTAAATTCAATGCTGCTAATAAATACTATATTGAACTTTATGACTCATAAGAATAAATTAATGAAGTAGCTAAAGAATTTAAGCTATCTACGACGTATTTTTGATAAGAAGGTGCTAAGATGCTTTGCTATTAAATTAAATTTTAGAAAATCTGCTATCTTAATTTATAGTTTTATTCTAGTATATTCCTTGTTGTAAGTGAGTAAACCCATCCTTCCATGAAGCATTTTCTGTAAACTAAGTAGTACTCAAATAAAAGAAGATCTTCTCTTTTGAAGTCAGCAATATTTTTAGCTAGAATGATGGCCTTTTTTGCTATTTCTGACTAGTCACTTTTGATGTATTATAAATAGTAATTGAATTAAAGATAGGCTTTTTTAGGGGAAACGTTTAATTTAGCTCTGCTCTTGCTTCTGATTGCTGATCTGCTAATTTCTCCGAAATCAAAGCTCTGATATTTAGATAAATTAAGTTGACTGTCCATTAGTTAATCTTCATTTTAAATAAACTTTCCAATTCTATCAATTTCATCTTAATTATCGCCGATATTTAGTTTTTAAAAGTAAATCAGTATTTCTGCTTGAAGCTTTAGTGCTGAATATCTGTGTTGAGGTTCAGTTTGCAGCATTGTATGAATAACAAAAGAAACTAAAGGATTTAATTCATTCATGTCAATTATGTTATTAAAATTCCCTGTTCTTATTTCATCAGCTGTTCGGTAGTTGATATTAACTCCTATCACAGATAAGATAACCAATCCCATAGAAAAAATATCTATTTCTTCTTTGAAGTCTTCTTGTCCGTCTTTTTGAGAGTTGATTGATAAGTTCTAAGATTAAATTTTAAATTCGTCACCAGAGACATTCGAAATAAATGAAACTTGCTAAACTTTTTCATAATTATGCAATTATTATGGTGCCTTAAACGTGCTGTATTTATCTCCATCAATAAAATCCATCTTTTTTTCTTTTTTTGAACTCTTTATTCTCTAGCAAGGAAAGCCAATCAGCTTAAAATTGTTCTCTGCATCAATTAAAATCTTTCTGGGCTCTATGCTTAAGTGAACCAAATTACTGGAATGAATATCTATGAGCATGCCAATCAGCTTCATGGTAATATTTACTGCCTCTTACAAACTATATTTTATATTCTATTTAATCAAGCTCTCTAAATTGTCCTCACAAAGCTCCATAATCATGTAAGATATGTCATATTTTTTGATGTTAGAGTATTCAATAATCCTGACTAAAGAATAAGTATCTTGCACCTAAAGAAATGCCTCTAATTTTTCATATTATTCCTTGTACTGCTTTTCTGTTTGATCTATAAACTTGATAGCAAAAAATAAACCAGTGTCGATATCTTCAATTTTATAAACATTATTTTCAGAATCAATAGGATCTATTACTCTATGATTCAAAGTTATTAAATGCAATATACACTACTTTATCTTTTCTTGCAATCTATCTGAATCGCAAGTCACTTTTTTCAAACCAGATTCGTACATCTAAGTTTAAATATCATCAAGTACAGGTTCTTTCCTCGATATAAAGCTAACATTTGGTTTTATAATTGAGCCCTTTACTGATTGTGCCACACTCTTTTTAGTATCTACTTTTTTACTTATTTATTCATCACTATCTGTGCATTTATTTAGCGAGTTACCCATAATGTTTAAACTTAAACTATATTAATATCTATTATAAATATTTTTCCCTATCACTTGCTCACAAATATTACTTTTATTTTTAAATTGCTAAATTAAATTCTATAGTAAAAATCTATATATTTATTTATTTATTCTTTGTTTGTATCTAATCTTCTTTCTTATTATATGACTACAGTATTTTAAGAATATACTGATTTTTTTCTATATCTTTATTATTAATTAAACAAAGTAATTTCTTTTTATGAATTATTTATTAAGGTGTATTTGATATCATCTCTTAATCAATTTTTTGTCCTAAATTAATGAAATGCTAAAGAAATCAAAAATCAACAATCTCTAATCTATTACACTATGTTTATTACTAAAAATTGAATCATTTCTTAGATGTTCGCTTTTTTTTAGAAGCACTTTTCTTGATTTTACTTAAGAATATTACAAAATTTGCTTACATCATTTAGTTATATGATAATTTTATAAATTTATCAAAGAGTCATATTTAAAAATAAGAAAATCAATCTCTAAAAAATGTTGAATCAAGCATTTTCTTTCTAAATAATTTTAAGCTAAATTTATTTTTTTTAATTAAAAATGAAATAAATCTCCAATAACAAGAGCAACTCTTAGATTACTAAACATCTTTTAACAAAAGGTTTTTTTAAAAACAAATTCTAAATTCAATTAATTTAGCAAAATTAAAATAAAATTACTAAATTATTTTATATAAAAAATAAATTTAAGTAAATATTTTTATTTTAAAATGATTAAAATTAATTTATTTTAAAATTATCTAAAATAAAATATTCATTCATGAAAATAATAATAAAAAAGATATAAATAAGAATTTAATTGATAATTTATCTAAATTTTATAAAAGATCATATTTTGATTTCTAAGAAATAAGTATTTACAAACAATAATATAATTCAATATTATTTATTGCTCATGTCAAATTTCAAAATTTTAATTTCATAGATTTGTTAGTAAATAATTTCATAGTCTTAAGATAAAACTTAAATTTATGATGTGATTTTGATATTTTTATCAAAATAACTTCTTAAAACGCTCATAATAAGTTTGTTATTAAAAGTTTTATAAAAAATCATTTAAAAAAATTGAAAAATTAGGATAAATGCTTCAACTTCAAAACAATTTCTTCAATAATTTAATTTAAAATTTGAAAATAAAATTAGAAAATTGAGAAACAGATGTATAAAAATCATAAATTTTGAAATGTATTGATGAATATAGTTTAACTAATGTATAAAATCAACTCCTTAAAAAGAAAAAATTAAAAATTATTTTTTTATACTCATAATTATCAGAATTAACTCTATAAAAAAGATAAGAGAATAAAACTATCAGTAGAACCATCATACCATAATTAATTAATTATCAGGTTTTTAATACACATAGTAATTGTTATAAAATTATTAGGTGAAGCTAAAAAACAATTTTATTGAACATGAAGAAAAATAAATTAATGAATATTTTCCAAATAAAATTAATATTTTTATCAAAAAAAATCAAATAATTTATTTATTTATTTACTTAAATTTCTATTAAAATATGAATTGTTGAGATTTGAAAACTTAATACATTGATATATACTTACTTACTTTTAGATTATTGTTGTTTGCAATTTAATAAATTTAAAATATTTTATTTTATTAAATACTTATCATGAGGATAAGCTTGTATAAAATAGTTTTCTACTATTTAATACAATTTTTTAGGATATATTTTATGGTTTTTAAATGAGAAATAAATCAATCAATCTTCGTCTTTTAATTTTTCCCTTTTACATTCAACGCGAATAATAGTTTTTTCATCACCTAAAAGTTAATCTGATTTCATATAAACTTTTCCTATAAGCAATAGCTTTTTTAAATAAAATAATTAAAAAGATCTGTATGCATTTTATTTTAAAATTATGATTACACTATTTATAGCACCTCTGATTGCTCCGCATATTATGTTATTATATGATAAACCTGCTAAATGTTCTGGAATTTCAACAAAATCTGTCAATGGATTTTCATTTAACTCAATATTAAAAGAAATATCCTTATGACTGTCAGCTTTTAATTCTTGCAGTTCACCTTTTACACCTAAAAACATTTCAAATCCTTCCTATTCGCGATAATTAAATATTTTGCTATTTCCTTTTTGAATTGATAATTGCTAAATAATAAATAACCTTTGCTATGGTATTAGCCATTTCTTTATAATCCTAACATAATTTTCCTTCTGATTTGGCTACAAATTCATCAATCAATCTTGAACCTATATCAAAACCTCTAAGTATTTATTAATTGTTAACTTATTTAGCTATTTTTATTTTTTAATATAATATACAATTTTTCAAGTTAATCATTGGCTTCTTTAATATTATCTGTGTCTTTAACGATTTAGCTTACAATGGCTCCGTAAGTTAAAGTAAGCAAGTCTCTATTCTAAAAATAAACAAACTTTAGCAATTTTTATTTCATTTAACTAATTAACATACAATTTTTGTGACTTTTTTAACTACTGGCTTTACTCCTTTCATTATCCTTCGCTCTTAAATAATATTTTTTGTTTAATAATTATTAATTGATTAATTAATCAATAAATAAATTGTTTATTTTATGAACAGAATTTTACAAACAATCAAGATAGATATATAAAAATAAATTAATCAAATATTTATATTAAAAATTGCATTTGAATTTTTTAACTATTTATTTTTATTAAAATCTAATTAGATTTTTTTTCTTTACTATAAACTTAAAGCTTTGTTAGAATACATAGATATCTACATATAAGCATGTTCAAAATGCAGCATGCTTAGATGAATAAAAAAACATATTTTTTAAAAGAATAATTTAAATAAATAAATACTTTAAACATTTATAAATTAAATATGAAGCAATATTTTAGTATTTTTTATTGAGAAAAGTCTTAAAATAATTTTAAATAACACAATATTTTTAGGGAATAAATAGGTAATTAAAATGTTGGATTTGCATTTTTTTTAGAATCTTAAAATTTATGCAATTTATTATTGAATAAAAATACTTTTGGATATATAAATACGAAATAGTGATTAATTAATTGATTAGTAAAATGGATGGTTTTTCAAAAGATAAAAATTAAAAAAGAAATAAAGGAAAAGACTAGGATTCGAGAGTTACTTGGGAAGGATTAGCAAATACTTCCACTTTTTGATGAATAAGGAGTAGATGGATTACATGCTTAGCAATCAATGTCAGTCCATCCACTTGTTTTTGAGCAATTAACTGAAACACAAGTACCTAATGAGTTTGCATATTGAAAAGCACCTGTTCCTGTTCCGAAACACACTTAGCATAATTCGTTTGTCATCCCGCTTGTAGCAAAACAATTATAACATCCTGAACCATCTTTTTTTGCTTTAGATCCTGGAGAATAACATTATTTGCAGTCACTATCAGTCCAACCTGGATTTTTAGGATCTCTGCCTCGACATTTTACAGATTTACATGCAGTTTAGGCAATATTTGCATAAGGCTTTAATGGAAAACAGATAGCACAATCAGAATCTTTGACATTTGAACTAGCGGAACATGATTGAGATGAATTTACACAACTTGTAGTATCTCCAGAAGCAAAAGGAGCACTTGGGTTGCATATTGCACAAACAGAATCTGTCAATCCAGATGTAGAACTACAATTTACACAACCAGTCAAAGAAGCATTTGCATAAGGTGTTGCAGAATTGCATAATTAGCAATTTTAATTTGTCCATCCTTATGTAGAAGTACAGCTTTGAGTACTAGCAACGCAAGCAAAACCAGCAGAGTTAGCATAAATAGCATTTTGAAACGGTGTACAAGAACCGCAAAATATATCTGTTAGACCAGTTAATGGAAATGGAGCTGCTGAACAATCATTTATTGAGCACTAAGTGTTCACACCTTGCACCCAAAGAAAACCAGGAAATGTTCCACAATTCTGATTGCTGCAATTACAAGGTTAAGAGCACGCTACACTATTCCCTTGTTATGCAGAGCTATAAATAATCAGATTAACAAAAATTGAAATACCAATTACAAAATTCATTTCTGATTAGTTTAATTTTAATTAATTTCTTCAAATCATTAACAAATTTTAAATAGATTTACATACTATTTTTGAAGATCAATTATGTTTTTTCAAAATATGAATTGATTTCTTTTTAAGTTACTGCTTTTTGGAAATACACTCATCCAAACTATATATGAAGTATTTCTTTCAAAGAAACTCTGGAAAGCTAATACATAAATCATTCATTATAGAAATTTTAACAATTAAAATTAAAAATAAATTATAAAAAATATATGATTTAATTATTTATATAAATATATAGTTAATAAATTAATTCTATCATATGTATTTATTTATCAGGGGTATTTAATAATAAAAATTAACTAGAATAAATTAATATAGCCGTTCTTAATTTTGAGATAAATTGCGTGATTTAAAAAAATTTTTTAAAAAAACCTTCAGCATTTCAAAAAAAATGTAGTAAAATATTTAATAAACTTTAAATATTTTCTTTAACAATAAACAAAACAATTAGTCATAAATGGCTGTTAGTTTTTTTAATATGCAACTAAAGGTTTGTTTAAAAGCTTATTAATATATGAAAATAATACTTTCTGATCACAATTTTTAGTAAATAATTATAAATTAATAGAAATATGAATTAATTTAAAAAATGAATACATAACTTTTTATGAAATGATAAACTTGTTACAGGTTGTAATAGAAATTAGGAAGTGAATTTGATGAGCAAAGGATGGATATAAACAAAATTAAAAGTACTAAATAGATAAATTTAGTTTTATCATAAATATAAATACAGAGAATACTTAAGATTATTAATTTATTGTTGGTTATTTAAAATTATATTTATAAAAATTAATTATTTCAGTAGAATATTTTTTAAAATACAAAGTTATTTAAACTGTTTTAAAGGAAGCAATCAGTGATGCTTTTTGGCTTCATTAAGTAACTTTTTTTAGTTCCAGTAATTATGTGCTTAGCTTACAGATGTTAAAACCATAGCACATCTTGATGGTATATACACGTTTAAGCAATAGGGTCTACCATTAAAGTTTTCTTAAATATAAGGGAAAGGCTTTTCATGTCCAGCTCTAACTCTATCATGACCACCGTAATGAGGCTATTATAATAATAGAAATATATATTATTAAAAGCTATTGATTGAAATATATTTTTTTAAATGTGAAAATTAATTACCTCATCAGTATCCATAATAATTAAATGATCTTCAGCAATGTTGGTACCGATTTTATAATTTTCGAAGCTCTAATGAATTTTTAAAAAGATTTGAATAAATAACTTGTTATTAATAAAGCTGTTAATTTTACTTGTGTAGGATGGAAGTTAAATACGAAAAGAAGATTATCTCTCTCAAAAACAATAACTTTATCTCCTTGATTTTTGGTGCTGACATAGTTGTATCTTGAGTTTAACCACTTGAAATGACTTTCAAGATGAATCATGTCTCTATCGAAATTCTTTTAATAAATAAATTTCATTCAACAAATAAAGTATTTTTTTAATATTTACATTAAAGAATCTGAATCTGAGAAGTTAGTCATCTACTAAGTCCCATCTTCTACGACAATGATGATAGCTCCAGCCATTATCTTATCTGGGGAAATCAATCCATTCTGGGTGACCAAATTCGTTACCCATAAAGTTAAGATAACCCTTTTTATTACAAAAATCAATTTTAGTATGAAAAAAAATAACAATTTATCTAAGAAAATAGAAATATTTTCAATAAATATTTGTTAAAAGTTAAATTAAAATACTTCTCCTCCAAGGGCAATTGTTATTAATCTGATCATCTTATGGAGAGCAATACCTCTATTTACTGTGAGAGTTTCATGAGAAAGAGTGCTCATATTTTCATAAATTTACTTTTATTTTAATTTAAAGAATAAAATATATTTATTATTAATCAAATTTATTTACAGCATCAAAAAGCCACATGGAAAGAGTTTTATCTCCGACTAAGGCTTAATCGTGACTTTCAGCATAAACAATACATTTTTCGTCACTTCTTCTGTTTGTTAAAGTCCATACAAGATCTTCCATATCCCAGTCATCGTCTCTCTTTTCTTTAAGTAGCTTGATCCACTTTTAATTAAAAAAAACAAATTAAATTTTAAAAAGAAATTTCAATTAATTATTTTTTACTTTATCAGGAACAGCCATTTGTAATCTATAATCGAAACCAACACCACCTTCTTTAACTTTTCTGCAAAGTGTGGGATAGCCAGAAACATCTTCAGCAATAGTAATAGCATCAGGATAAATTTCATGAACAAGTTCATTAGCCAACATTAAGTAGACTAAGGTTTCTATTTCAGCATCATGATTAAAATATTCATGATAACCGCCACTGAAACCTACTCCCATACCATGGTGTTTGTATAACATAGAAGTAATACCATCAAAACGGAAACCATCAAACATGTATTCAGTCATGAACCATTCCAAATTACTTAAAAGTAATCTTAACACTTCCCATTTGCCATAATTGTAAATCTTTGAGTCCCACAAATCATGGTTTCCTTTAGCTCCTTCGTGGAAGTATTGATAATCAGTTCCGTCCCAATTATTGAAACCATCATTGACATTCTTACTTGCATGACTATATTAAAATAATATTATTTAAATCTAACCTACTATTATTTCTCTTGTTATATTATATATAATAGCAAATTTTTTAATACTAAATAACCAGTTAAATAATTAATTTTATTAAACTTTATAAAATTAATTATTTATTCTATGAAATTATAATTTTGCTTTCGATTTCTATTTACATTAAATTAGCTAACTTAAGACGTCAATATTACTATTTTTTATAAAACTCTGACTTCACAAAATTTAAATTAATTCATCGCAAATTTTTAAATGAATTTTATGTTCTTTAAAATAATTTCTAAAGCCTTGTTTATTGTTCTTATTCAAATAATTCACTTAGAAAAGAAAACAAACATTTTCTTGTTAATTCTTGTTTTTTTATTTTTTCTTTTCATATTCTTTTTGATTCTATTTATTTGAAGTAATTTATTTGTTAAGTTAAACTAATTCTGTTTTAAATTCTAATTTTAGATTAATTTTTTTCTTCTATCACTAGCTATTTTTTTGATTATTTTAAAATTTTTTAAGCCTAAATGGATTTTTTGCAGGGAGACATAAAATGTAAATTTTTGCTATTATAGTAATGATTAAAATGAGTTGTAAATGTTACGAGTGAACAATGTCCATAAGAACATGAATACCCATGCTATGAGCAGTGTCAACTAAATTTTTTAAATCTTCAGGAGTTCCAAAACGTGAAGAAACGGAGAAGAGATTTGTGACGTGATATCCAAAGGATCCATAGTAGGCATGTTCAGCTACTGCCATAATTTGGATAGTGTTGTAACCAAGATCTTTAATACGAGGTAAAACATCCCTAGTGAATTCAGCAAAAGTATGGACACGAGGTTCAATTCCAGCCATACCGATATGTGTCTCATAGATTCTCAATGCATGGTGTTTGTGAGGACGAGGATGCTAAAATTAATAGTTTTTCTCAGGCCACCAAAATTGTCCATCAAAAAGCTTGCTATTTTCGTCTTGGATTACACGTTTGCTCCACACTGGAATACGATCTACCCATTCATTATTAGCAGTTAATACATGTGCTTTTATACGAGATCCATGAGGGATTATTGGCTTTCCTTATGAATTGAAAGGAATTTATATCTCCCAATTACCAAAGGCATCTTTTTATAATGGGTATTGCTTTCTATTCCAGCTATTGAAATCTCCTGTCAAGTAAATTTCCTTTGCACTTGGAGCCCATTCTCTGTAAACGAGATTATCTCCTTCTTAATTGAATCCATATCTCTTATAACCTATTGAAAAGTAAATAAATTAAATTATTTTTCATTCTTTGTTTAGATTATTTTCAATTTTCTTTGGCAGTATTTTAAAAGCTTTTTGTTGATTGCATTTTTATAAAAAAATTAATTGCTAATAGAATAATTTTTCCATTTATATTTTGCTTTCTGTTGTCGATGTAACTTAATATTTTTGCTCTATTTTACTTAAATATTTGCTTGAATTTAATAGTAAGATTAATCAGCTAATTAAAATAAAGTTACTAGATCTATTATAAAGTCATTATTTATTAGTTGATTTTACACTAAAACTGACAAAGACATTACTAAAATCAAAAAAATCAAATTGAAATCGCTATGCTTTCATGCTAGCAAAATAAAAAATAATTTAAATCTTCTTAAAAACTGAAAGTTGCTCTTTTTACTTTTTAAAGCAAAAATTCATTTTAAATAATTTATCGCAAAATTATTTAATATTTTTCATTTTTTAATTGATGATCTAAATGGTAAAATGCATCTCAAAATATGTAAGTAAAATTTAAAAATAACTTGCTTGAATGATGCCAAACTAAAATAAAAATAGCTATTTATCTAGAAAAAATGATAATAAAATACCTTTAGCAAAGTCCTCGAGGGAGTTTTCAGCACGGAGGATGTGAGTGAGCTATTATCTAAAGGCGTCATTTCTTACTCTGAAATGCTCTTTAAAATCATTCAAGTAGGGGTCATCCTTGAAAACCTAAAATTCGTCTATATTTTCAGGGTAAGAGTCCAAGGAAAAGCCTTGCTAATGAGGAGCGAATGTAGATTTCTTTTTGGAATAAGAACGAGATCCTTCCTTTCTAGCAATTGTGTCAGCACCGTCAATATACATTTCGTTTTTTTCTTCTAACTAATTGTTAGTTTCTTTTTGATCACTTTTGAGTTATTATTTATTTATTTATTTTTTTATAATAAATTTTGGATGTAAATTAAATATTACTTTTTTGATAGCTTCATATCTTCTTCTTTTTCTTAAACACTATTTGATTGCTTGCTTGCTTCTATTTTTAATGTTAATGCAATTGTGATAATTTGTTTGTTTGTTTGTTTGTTTTGCTTATGGATTTTGTTGTTTTCAGTCACGAAGGAACGATTTGAATGCAAGTAAAGCAATTTTTATTTTTATAATTCTAATTATATATTAATTATTATTAATTTATAGAGTTAAGTATTATTTTTAGTATTTTGGCAGTAGCTAGCTTTTAAACACTACTTGTCTGACTGAAAATAGTATTTAATTAATTAATAATTTATGCTATTGATAGTACTTTAAATGAGCGCTGGATTAGCCTTTTTAATTACAATAAATTACGAATCGATATTTTTGAATAAAGTAACAAATAAATTAATCAATCAATCAATCGCTATTTAATTTTAATATGAAAAGTTAAGATATTTATTTGTGTTAGATAGATAGAACCTTTTGAAAGACTGACATATTATAAATTAAAATCATTCAAAATTAAAGATACTTTTATCTTTAACACACCCACTATCAATAGCTCTACAATAATAAATAATTAATTGATCCACCTTCTACGCATTATATTCCTTTAACAGCTATAAATAACAACAATTACTAATACAACAAAAAATCAGAGCTCATTCACTTCCAACATACCTAAAAATAACTAAAACATTTTACATTTTATAAATGTTTATTTTGTGTTTAGCTATCCTAAAATTTCCTACAGAATTTAAAACTTTGTTAATATTAAACCATTTTTTTATATTTCTTAACTTTTATGACGAAATTTTAACAAATAAGTTCCTTATAAATTTCTCAATAAATCTCTTTTAAACTCCATTTAAAGAACACTTTTATCTAAAGGCAAATTAATAGTAGATCTAATAAGATGAAGTAAACATAGTTTTATCCTATTAAAGGAAATGAGCCATTTTTATAAAATTTTATATTTGTAAATATCTCATTAGATTTGGATCTCTGTTTGTTTAATTAAATAAGTGAATTATATTATAAAATTATTAATGAAAGGTGATCACTTCAAAGAGATATTTCATTAATAATTGATCATTTATAGTAATTGATATCATCATTAATTCAATCAAATTTTGTTGTCTATATTTTATTAATTTTATTTCAAATAATACGTCTTATCAAAAATCTGATGAAATTATCGATGTATTTCTCTATGAATATTGTCAAATAATTAAATTAATACTAAATCAATCAATTTTGTGAACAATTATCATTATAGTTCCCAACAACTAAAATATGTAATTTCTTCTGTAATTCCAAAGCATCCTTCTTCTATTTTAAAATCAAAAAAGCTTTTAGAACAAAAAGCAGTAAGTGGATCAATCATTTAAAAGTATTATTAGTTCAAAATTATTTTCAAATAATCCTACTTGCTTTAAAATTATAACAGAATCACATCTAATTAATCTAAAAAATATTGAAGAATATCCAATAAATTGAAAATTATTCCGCTTGTTACTTCTTTCATCATTTTATATCTTTTATATGTTTGATAATTTTTTATCGCAACTAAATTTTATAGTAAAAAAAATTCAAAACCAAATTATGAAATTACATAATCAAGAAAAGATCTAACTAAAACTTTATTATTAAAAAAGCATTAAAAATGGTTTATTAACTCATTAAGAAATAAAGTTAAAATAATTCTAGTATTATTTATTCAGGTTAATTATGAAACACAAATCTGTAAAATTATGCTTTTTCATTAGGAAATTTGATTGTTCTTAGTAGATTTTAAATTATTTTCACAGTAAATATTAAAACAATTTAAGTTAAATATGCAAAATTGATAAAACAATAAGCTTTTATTTTTTAATGAAATTAATTTATTAATTAAAAATTGAATTAAATTTTTTTATAATGAAGAAAGCTAAAATGGTGTTGACTTTATATAAATATTGTTAAAAATAAACCTTTAATATAATAAAGTTTAATCAAGTAAAAGTTTTTTTGTATCATTAAATGATCAAAATAGGAAACTATGAAAAAATATTATTTTACGAATTAAGATTTTATAAAAATTGCATCATAAAAATTTTTATTATTTACAAATTATTTTAATTTTAAAAAATAGCTAAATTCATATTTAAAACTCATAAAAGTAGCTCATATTTAATTATATAAACTATAAAATCTTTTCTTTAATATTGAAAAATTCAAAAACAAAATATTTGGATAAACTTTATGAAACCACAAAAATTAACATTAAAATTAAAATTTGATTTCTCCCTGAGGTTTTATTTAAATCATAGTATCTAATTAATTAATCATGATAAATAAATAAAGGATAGAAATATTATTCATGGATAATATTTAAGATTAAAATATAACAAGTATATAAAAGCTTGGTATTTATATAATTTAATAATATATAATATAAAACTAAAAATTCCAAATTATTTGATCGTTTTTGGAGAATTCGGAGGGTTTGATTATGAGGATTTAATTTATTTAAGTAAATTTAATTTTTAAATTTTTTTATTTTTAATAAATAATTTATTTACTTACAAAAATATGAATGATATTTATAAATATAAAATCAATAATAACATCTATAAATCTATTTATATTTTAGGATAAAAACACTTTTTCAAAATATTAAATAATAAAATATATTATATTATTCAAACATTTTATATTTATTCATCCTTTTTTCACCATTTAGGTTAAAAATTAAAGACAACTAATCTTTATGATTTAAGACACTTGCCTATTA